CCTATATCAGTTTGGGCCTCAACTATCTCCACCTGGCTGTACCTTTCATATGCTGAAATATAGCTCCCTAGGGCAGGCTGAGCACCAGTCTTCATGGCTGCTCCTCTCCACCAGGGAACTATTTCCTTACATGTCCATTACATTCCAAAAACATACAGTCTGGGGAAAACTGGCAAAGCTATCTTTTTTAAGTCAATATTTAGTAACAGTAAATATAATGGGGCGTTGTTTTTATTTTATCCACACAGCACGAGCAAGAAAAGGACAAAAAGCAAGCTGAAATAAATGCCTAGCCAAGTCCTCTCCTTCCACCTCCATTCTGGCCATCTGACAGACCCGGGATAGCCAAGTGATAATCACAGGCCTTTAGAGGTTCTACCAAGTTCTCAAATTGTGTCCATTTTTTTTTAATTGTTCACAGTTGCACAAGCAAAAAACAGTAATTGTGCCTTCTATTTCATTCCACTAGGCATACATGTATATATCCAGCTCCCAACTCATATGTAGCCAACATGCACTGCCCAATGCAGAACACGGAAAAAGTTGCTCATGCCTGCACTGCTGCGTTACTGCCTCATACCCACTCCTGAAGGGCAATGGACAACAGCCAAAATGTCTCTTCGGAAAATCTTTGACCAAGCAATATCGGTTTTCCAGCTTCCTCTCTTCCGATCCCCCAATCCAAAAGCAATTTGGTATGATGCAAATACATGAACTCCACATCCACGGAGCCTTTACTGTTAAGCAACGCCAAAGGTATTCTAAAGCCTATTACTGAGTAAGGTTGTGCAGTGTTTCCGATTCAAAGGCAAAAACAATGCTTCGGAGGATCTGGGGCATGGATCTAGCAGTTGTCTAAAACTCATCTTTTCCCAGGATCCTGAGACAGCTCAGGAAGGCCGCCATGCAATCCCAGGAAGAGTTGCAGCTGCTTTAAGGAGCTGCAAACAGGTGCCATGTTTGTGTCATGTGCACCCCACAGCACCTTTGTGTACTTAAATCAGAAAGGTAGCACTGCGCTCTTAATGAGGAAATTCAGGGTGCCTGGAGGCTGCAATGCTGGCCCTGCTTGATGTATAAGGAAGATTTATTTTATTTATTTATTTAAATGACTTATAGAGCCAACCACGCCACAGCAGTGATTCTGGGCGGCATACAACAGTTAAAACCACCACAACAAATAATCTATGAGGGGGAGAAGATGGCTACCCCTGTAATGATAATTATAAGATTTAACAGACATGTGGCTATTTGTGCTTTGTACAGTACTAAGTACCTTGCTACTACAAGACAAAAAAATCTAACAACAGAACAGACATTCGAGGCCCAAGCAGTCAGGAGCTCTTCAGAGAGACAAGCAATCAGTATTCACAGCAAAGTTCTTATCATCAGAATAGAAGTTTGGGTTGTTGTTGTTGTTGTTGTTAAGGGTCACAATGCTGACCTTTGGCAGAATTTTATGCCAAGAAAGGCTGAGGCCTGCATGTATTACAGAAATTGGGCAAAGACAGGCAAAGTTGCTTATTAAGCATAATTTATTATTCTAGCCAAGATGAGGGCCAACAAACTACAAAAGGGAATTAAGATGCCTACAGAGGCCCATCTTTCCCTTCTGAGCTTTTGCAGTGTTATTCAAACATTGCTGAAGTCTACCTTCGCAAGGCAGGAAGAAGTGGGAGGAGGCAAATCATCTTCTGTATTCAAGGGGAGAAGTGGAAGGTGGCGATGAATAAAAGCTGAAAGGGCAGGGATCCTGAATTTGTACTTCTGAAATGGTAACCAAAACAAAGAAAAACCAAGATAAATGAGTCTGGGTGTAGCCCAGAGGGGAAAAAGTGTATGCTTCAGTACTCAAAGTCCCATTGCATACATCAAAGTGCACTTAAAAACACATTTAACCTTAAGTAAATCTCAATAATTCAAATAAGACTTATTCCCAATACAGATGAGTAAAAACTGCAGCCTGTGATATTTGCAGGACAATTAAAGAACAGTGGTATACTCTTTAAGATTTTGTTCAGCAGTTAAGTACATGGAATTAAGCCTTGAGGCAAGGAAAAATGTCTTTAGTTTTATTAGCATGGAGGATGGCATGTAGTTATAATGCAGGCCTTAAACCAATGTTTAAAGTCCATCCATTAGGTGGTCCTGGGAAAATGGCAGTATCCCACCAACTGTTCCCCATCTGCTTTATAAAGGAGGAGTTCTCCCATAGTTACTGGAAGAATGAAAGAGAAATGCCATCGCAGCCAATGAAGAATGATAGAAACAGAGCAATACAAGCCACTGGATTAAATAGTGGAGATGGTCATGAGAGACCACAATCAACCTCTCACTCAAATATGATGTCCATCAATACTGCCTATGTAGATTTAATCAAAAATAAGGCCTACTGGACTCAATGAGACTCCCTCCCCAGACAGTTTATCCTGCAAATGAATAAAAAGGGAATCAAAAGTCTGGATGCAATAGTATAATGTTCTCCACTGTCTCTGTTATATTGTTTTCTTTCATGTATTCAAAATGATGCCAGTTGGCTCACTTACCTGCATCAGGCACAGCTCTTTTCTCTTGTGGACATTTTTTCTGCAAGTGCTTTGCAAGTGTGCTGGGATCTGCCTTGCGTGGGTGGCTGAAGTAGATACAGGGTGGCAACCTGGTACCATTTTCAGTTATAACTCTCCTGATTCCTAATCCTCAATTATGCTGGCTAGAACATACTATTGAAAACATCTGAAGCACTGTACCGGCCACCCCAAGAAATAACTTTTTGGTTCAGTTCTGATTCTGCTCACAGTTAGTTCAGCAGCAAACCAAACTCAGGAGTAACTAAAACCCACTGACCAATAAAAGCCATTAAACAAAAAGACAGTTATTCAATTAGAGTCTAAAAAGTCCAAGAATATTAAAAAGAGAAGAATAAAGGTTTCATTGGAAGCAAGCCTTCCCAAGTCCCTTGTCTTCTGAAAACTGAGCAGCTAAGATGTCAATGCAGTTCTCTCTGCAGAGTCCTGAGACTTGGCCCAAGTGCCAACTCCATCGAGTGCCAAAAGCCAATCATCCCTGCTTCAGTTGGCAAGGAAAGAAATAAGTAGGAAGGGGAAAGCCATATCAACCCAGAACTAAGTTCCCACAAATTCTGTAGTGTTCTAATGAGCACGCTTGATAGACAAAAACATCTTCCTCCAAGGCTTAGAAGCCAAATGAGGACAGGATAACTAGACATGGTAGCTGCTAAGTTGTCAGCTCCAGCAGGACAAATAGTAAAGCAGCTTGACAAGAAGGAAATCTGGCCTAATGAATTCTAGGTTACATATATGGGGAGAAACACAGGAAGATCCAGCTAGGCCCCCTCCCTTTTTGCAGGCTTCTGCACCAAATCACTCCAGGGTAATCTGGCCAGCAGCTGCCCCAAAGCAGTTCCTCTCAAGACAACCCTAATCCATGCCAACCTCCCAGCATCGTCACAAGAACCATTTACCTACCAACACATTATTAGTTGCAGACGCAGCGCTGCGTGAAGAGAGGAGATGGAAGCCCCCCCCCCCAATTACATCATCAGGCTTGTGAGGCAGCAGGTGATAACACCAGGTCTGGAGGTGGAAAGTGAGAAAATGAACTCCCTTCCACCCTGACCAAGAGCAGCTGGAATTCCTGAACAGAAATGGCTCACTGCAATTTGTCCTCCTTTGGAATTTAATTTCTTCTCCCTTTTTCCTAGGCAGAAAGCATGCTGGATCCCTATCACATTCTCTCCACACACATTTTTTCACATGGTTTCTGGGGGAGAGAAAAGGAAGAGGACACAATCCTTTTTCATGTTTATAAAGTGCAAAAGAAAAAAAGGATTCTGTGATTTTCTAGGCAAAGCTCACATCCAGTTCTAATCCCCTCTCCAATACCATGAAAAGAATGCCAAAAGCTGTATGATCCAGAGGAAGGGTGATGAAATAAAACTTAGCAATTTACAAAGAATTATTACTTTGAAAATCAGAAGGGTAAAAGATTTCTCACCTCCAAGAGAGATTACTTATATGCATCCATGATAACGATTAGAGAGAGAAAAAAAGGCAATTTAAAAAGTCAATCTGAGCACAAAGCAAAGAACAAGAGAATGTCCCTAAGAAGAGAAGGAATGAAAGATTCACCCAGCAAGTCCAAACAGAAATGCACCTCTTAGAGAGGGACATCTAACCCTGAATCATCAGTCACAAGGTGAATATTAAATGCATGGACTGAATCTCAAAAAGGTCAAAGACAATGAAAAGCTTGGAACAAAAAGGAAGGCCTGACAGGAATGGGGAATCTTCAGGGCCTGGCAGTTAACTGGGAGAGGTAGCTCTGGTAGATGTGGAAAAGGGGAGCGGGGGCACTCAATAATACAGATGGGGCATAAAGTGGTGAAGGCTCAGGATCCTCTGAAGTTCAACCCTATCTCTTCTTAATTTCAGCACCAACTTATGCAGGATATACCAGGTTTTAAACCCTGACTGAAGGGGTGGATCCCAGGGACTTTGTAGGAAGAGCACGAAACCAGGGAAGGAGGATTAAGAAGAAAGTCTGGATCTCTAATATCTTGAGCTAAAATAGCTTCCCTTTGGGCCAACGAAGCAGGATCTGATTCATGCAGCTCTGTTGAGGAAGAGTTTAGAAACAGACTAGGGATAAATATGGAATAGCAACAGAGAGATGAAAAACAGATCAACATGAACCCTACTTTTTCCTAATGAGAGAAAGACACCAAATATTTTAACAAGAACTCAGTAATTCATAAAGCAGTGCATTAGGAGGTGGGGTGTTCAGGCCATAAAAGAATTCAAGAAAGGTCAACAAGACCGCTTGCACGATCAGATCTGTTGTATGAAAACGGGCGATCCGGTCTAAACGCAGGGAGAATGATCTCTCAGGAAGAAGATTCAGAACAAAGGGTCAAAGGTCATGCTGGATTCCACAACCCCCTCCCCCCCCAAATCTTTCCTCAGTAAAGAAACGTCTCTTACCTTGGCGGCGGCTACTGCTATTGCGAGTCCCAGTAATCCTCGGCCATGGCCGCCAGCATGGGCCGCCTCTAAACTCGGCACCCCTCAACCACCCATGGTCACCCCCAAGCCCGGGTCTGCTCGACTCCTCCCTCCCAGCTCCGTGGAACCACCCCCAGCCCAGCCACCTCCCACCCTACGACTGACCAACGCCAACCCCCTGGCTGGGCTTCACTCTCCCCTCCCCTTTAGAGCGTACCATTCCCTACAACATGGGTAAAACCATGAGAAAAGCTGGAGGCCGTGCACAATTAATGTTACCCCACACTTAAAGAAGGAAAGGGAAGAAACGGAACAAACACTTCAGTCATTCCCAGAAATACAGAGCCTTATGAATCTGTGCGAGAACAATAAAGAATCCCCCTCTTTCATTTCATGTGGTAGAATCTCAGCCTTATCATTTTCTGAGATGTGAGGGGGGAATCTCTCCCTAATAAAAACGTTAATATTTTCTTCTGTATTTGATCAGATATTGACTTTGTGCAATCCGTTTGCAATAAATGTAATTCGCTTTACTTGAGATCTTTCAGATGTGCGGTAGACACTAAATGACTGGCCTATTCTCCATGTGCATCGCAATGGTACATTCCACATCATTTTTTTCCCCCAAGTAACCGTTCCTCTTAACCACTAGCAGACGTTGCCCCATCACCATTCGCTGATGGGGTGGGGGGTGTTTTTAGTTTCGGAAAACAGGTAGTGGCAACTCATCACTTTCCAGTGGGTTGAATATAAAGCATCTTTTTAGTCGGGACCCTGCAAATTGGTCGAGACGCATGTAGGTCACAATTATCTTCCCAAACCCAAAATACTGTACAGGCTTAAGCGAAACTGCTTTACTAGCGGCAGAAGGATGGATTGTGCGACAATTAATCAACGTCGTATTAATTAGTAATAGTATAATACAGTCGTGATGAGTTAAATGAAGTAAATGACACTCGGGTTAGCCCAAAAGTATTTATTGGTGGGGAGAATTACAACGATTAAATTTTGTTCTCACAAGCTACCTTAAGCGATGCAATTGAGCCGTAGAGCGTAGGGTGCAGCGATCAGCAGCAGAATTTGGAACGTTCGTCTAGAATTTCAGTGCATTGTTTTAACATTCTGAGCTCTTCCTGATATCTGAGAACAATGAAGGAAAGACGACAATAAAGCCGGGACTTAGCTCGCTTGAGATTCACAGTGGTTTCGCCCTCACAATACACAAACTGGATGGCTCCTAGCCGTTTTCACACTTTGCACCACCAAATTGGTGTCATCAAATGGTTTTTTCTTCCTGTTGCAAGCAATCTGTTCAGCAAATAGAGGTTTTAAAGTGTTACCAATTATGTTTTGCGTTGCTATGCTTTCTAATAGCTTTATTTAATCTCCACTTTTTAATTACAGTACTGAAAGTTAGAGCAGGATCTAAGAACGGGGAGTAGAAATGTATTTTTGTCTATTGTAGCCTCAGATGGCTAGCTAACGTGCCCTACCTCTGTGGTATCTCTGTGGCATTAAGCCTTGCTTCTGGGCCTTGATCTGGGAAGTTAAAAGTTTGAGCCAGGAAGGACTATAATTGAACAGAAGAGACGGTAATAAGAGCCAGTGTGTTGCTCTGCTGAGTTTTTCAGAAGTTTTTAAAGTCCAAAATGGCTGCTGTCATAGTAACAAGTGAGGACAGTGACCGAGGACAGAGTATCCAGTTAGGTCATAGTCACCATTCTGAAGGCTGTTATTTCCCACAAAACTTTATCTTCCAGCCAATGGTCCCAGAGTGAAAAAGTTTGGATTAAAAGGGGCAAACTGGACCCCACAGAGATATGAGTTGGAAGGATTCATTTGTCTAATCTCTTAGTGCAGAAATCCAATTTAAATTATCATTTACAACCAATAGCTCTTCTGCTCCAGCAAAGGGGAGTTAACTACACTCTCCATGGTTAAACTGCTTTTACCATTAAGAAGTTTTTCCTAACATTTAATTCAAATCTGACTTTTTATAACTTAACCTCTTTATTCTGTGTCCTGAGCTCTGTGTTGGAGAATGGGGAGACTCATTTTCTGAGTTCTACCTTCAAATAACTTGCAGAATGCTCTCCCCCCTTCCATCTTTTCTCTACACCCGTGTTTTTTCAACTTTTTTCTCAGGGCCACTTCTCACTTTTAAAAATTATGGAGGAGCCCAAAATAGCTTTTGTTTGTATGGGTTATATCAGTGTTGTCCAAACTTGGCCACTTTAAGATGAGTGGACTCAACTCCCAGAATTCCCCAGCCAGCATGTAGGAAAAGATCCCCCATTCCTGTCAGGCCTTCCTTTTTTTCCAAGCTTTTCATTGTCTTTGACCTTTTTGAGATTCATGGCTGGCTGGGGAATTCTGGGAGTTGAAGTCCACTCATCTTAAAGTGGCCAAGTTTGGACAACACTGGGTCATATTTATCAGTATTTACTGTATTAAAAGTTAAAATTGACGCATTCGCTGCTGCTACTGCTTCTCACAATTGTTTGATGGGATTTTAATATTTTTTAATGTCGGCTGGAAAATAATTTTGATTTTGTGGACCCCCAGGGGTCCTAGGACCATACTTTAAGAAACACTGCTCTAAACTAAAGTTGCTAGTTCCTTCAGTCTGTCCTCACAGGAGACTTAGTTTATAATCCCTTGATCCATCCCATTTCCCTTTTTTGCATCTGTTCTAATTTCTCTTTCTTGAAATACCCAGAACTGGACACAGTGTTAGAAATGGGGTGTGAGCAGGGCAGAATAGAATGAAATTATTCCTTCTTATTTTGGGGAAAGTGTATTTCCCTTGATTCAGTCATTTGCCTTTTTGGTAGCCACATCACACTGCTGATTCACTTTCAGCTTGTGATCACTTCAGATCCAAGATCATTTTCCCAAGTGTACTTAGCTAAATACCCCCATCCTATCCTTGTATGTTTGTTTCCTCAGTGAAGAGCTTTGCTAAAATCACTTCTATTATTGTAGCCCACTACAATAATGTCATGATCATAGAGCTTGGGATGTAGCGTGTGACACAACTGTACCAATAACATCAAGAATATTTGGTGATGCTACTACATCCTTGCAGTCATAGAAGACAACAACTGTGATGCTGCTACTGCGGGACTGACTGTGACAAACTCCTTACTCTTGTAGAAGATTTTTGTCTGGAAAAGCAGGATGTAATTATCTCAGTAATAATTCAGGGCTGTGTAGTAGATTTTCAATCATTCATTTTTTAAAGAAGGTCTTCAACCACATAGTGTAGTCTCAACTCTAGATTTTTTAAAAACTATATTGATAGTGATCCTTTTCTAACTGGCTTTAGGCCTCTTAATTTTGCTGGAAATAATCTAAGTTGCTTGGACAAGGATAGGAGTGGTAACGTATTGTTATGCTGGCCAAGTCCTTCTTTGCATGGTGGACCCAGAGGAATTCCTGTTCAGAGCCTTGGCTATTGTTCTGTCTCAGCCTCTTTCAACCTAGTATATTCCAGACAGGCTAGATTATAACATCCAGAATTGCGAGCCATTGGTATGCAGTTCTTGATGAAGGGCTGTATTTTTAAAATTCTGTTTTCTCTAGTACTTTAGAGTTGATGGCTGTTTTGTTATATTTGTTATCGATATAAACATTTTTAAATTAAATTCTCATTTTAGATAAGTCAGAAAGGCCGAAATAAATAAAATCTGAATCGATAGCACTGTCCTCGCTGCTCTTTATTATTCTTTTAATAAATTAAAAACTAAATCTGTCAATTGATGCAGATGTTTTATTGCTGCCATTTTGACCTGACCAATGCCAGCTTTTCCATAAAGCACGAGTGAAAGGGTCCTAATTCATTTCAGATTCCTACCTGCCAGGACTAAATAAATCAAAGGAAAGGTGAAAAGGGAACAGATGGAGAAAGCCATTTTTCTGCCTCCTGGTAGCAAGCTTGCTGTGATCAATCTTCTGCCAAGATTGTCAGCTGTAAATATTTCAATGATGGTAGTGTATAAAAAGAGTTCTGATGGCATCTCGATTCCATGCTTGCTCACATGCATGTTCGTACTGTTGAGAGTTTTCATTTTGGAGGTCGGTGCAGAGGGCACAGTGAAAAAGCTGCTTTTGTTTCATAGATAAGGATCAGAGAAATGGTTTAGTAACAGATTTTGAAAGGCCTTGGAACGAGGGCTACCAGATTCAGGCTACAAAAATCCAGAGAGCAACAAGAAGTTAGCACACCCTATACCTCTTTGCTGTCATCCAGTGGCCATTCAGATGTTTGCAGTCCAAATCTCGTAGCCTTACCAGGAACCATCCCATATTATCTGCTCATTTCTCTCAGGCATTGGCTACCAAAATTGCATAGCATTTATAGCAAAGGACAAAATAAGGTACTGTAGGTTCCATAAGGGGCCATCGTTAGGGGTTTATGGGGACTGAATTCCAAAACATCTGGACAACATCAGATTGCTTAGCTATAACCATGATTTGTTGAATAAGCCACAAAGTCCAACACCAATTACATCTCATTACAGCTTAGAGTGTTGGGTGAACCCAACTAGCATCAGTCAGTCATGGCAGCAAACGTATCACCATTAGCCCTAGTCCTGGTAGACTGCTTTTTCTCTTCTCCTCCTGTTTGAAAACCACATAAGTAAAGACTGAAATTGAATAAGAACAATATAAAAACCTGGTTCATACTTATTAAGCCACATTTTAAGCATGGTTTATTGTCTAAGCCATAATTGGCTGGGTTCACACAATATGTTGAGTTACAAACTATTATTATTATTATTATTATTATTATTATTATTATTATTATATCTGTATGACTCTCAATTACTCTGGGCAACTCACAACAATCAAACAAAGAAATTACAATAAAATCAATAAAAAATAAAAAGATGGCAAGCATGATGAAGTGAGGGGTCTCCCTCTCCCTCACCAAAGGCCAGGATGAAATCACAAACTATGGTACATAAACCATAGATCAGATTCATATAACACTCTAAGGCAAAATCAAACAGTGGGAGTCCACTTGCCAAATCTGGCACTAATAAACTTTTTAACAGCAGACAGGAGCCATCTTCAAGTTTTCTCTGCATTAGAACCTAACCTGCCTTATGAGACATGCAGTTTTATATGTTAGCTAAGTTATACAA